AAACAGTATATACCGAGCAAGAGGAAACGCTTTGGTATAAAACTGTTTGTACTCTGTGATTGTGACAGTGGCCTGGTATTGGATATTGTTGTATACATGAGAAGTAAAACATTGAAAGTTACCAGGATGTTATTGGGTATTGTAGATGAATGGTTCAAAGAACTGACACGTTGTTAAATTAGACAAATGTGCAACTCTTGGGTATCTTTATTGAGGAAATGTTTCGCCACACAGTGGCTTCATCAGTCTATACAAAGGATAAACTTGAAGAACAGGAGGGACTGATTACCTCATTCTCCTCCTGTTCTTCAAGTTTATCCTTTGTATGGACTGATGAAGCCACTGTGTGGCGAAACGTTTCCTCAATAAAGATACCCAAGAGTTGCACATGTGTCTAATTTAACAACATGTTATTGGGTATCTCAGGTGATGTAGTGAGAAGCATGATGGCACCTTATCTTGGTAAAGGGCATACATTATATACATTACTGATAACTGGTACACAGGCCCTTTACTCAGTGATTTCTTGCGAGTGAACATGACAGATATGTGTAGCACAGTGTGTTCTAATCGTAAATATATGCCCAGGTTCAACGCAGGCACTCGTGGTGATGAGGTGCAGGTGTTTACTGCCAATGACATCATGGCATTACGGTGGCATGACAAACGAGATTCACATTGTTGACAACCATTCACCGTAACAAATGCAAGACAGTACCAAAATTGATAGAGTGACTAATGAACGTATTTGAAAACCAGTGACAGTGATTGATTATACACAAAACATGCGCTTGGTTGACAAATGTGACATGCAGATTGACTTTGTTGATTGTGTTTGTAAGAGTTACAAATGGTACATGAAACTTTTCTTCCATCTCATGGACATTTCAATGCTCAGTGCATATAATATGTACCAAATGAAGACTGGCAACAGACCACCATATGGTGAATTTTGTTTTGCTATACAAAACCGTCCTCGAACTCCTCACGAAATACCCAAGCGTTTGAGGAGGGAAGGTGATCACTTCATAATACAGCTTCCTGCAACTAAGAAGAAATTCGCTCAGAAGAGATGTGTTGTCTGTGCACAAACAAAACGACAGCAACAAAGATGCAAAGATACTCGGTTTATGTGTGAGGAATGTAAGGTACCTCTGTGCATGGTGCCTGGTTTCAAGGAGTTCCACAAGCTGCAGCAGTTCTAAAAACATGTCCAGCGATTGTACATATGTAAATATATGATAGAACATTAGTATTATACAAGATTTGTGCATGGATATTGTAATAAACAAAAGTGGTAAACAATATTATAATAATAACTTTAGTGTGGTTATTGTGTTCAATACAGTGAGTGTATATATATACGTTATGTACAGTATTGGTCTCACAGGCCGCAAATGTTACTAGAAAGAAAAAAAATTAGAAAAGAAAAGAAAAAAGTATAAAAAACGTAAAATAAAGAAATGCGAGTTTGTGGAAATCGCCGATGTTGCCGCCACCCGGTCATTTTGGATCAACTTCTCGCCTCTGTATCTCAGTAAGTACTGATCAGAAATTTTTGTTTTTGTTTTATTACCTTCACAAAAATATACTCTTTAACCCTTTCAGGGTCCGTCCCGTAGATCTACGGCTTTGTGTTCATGAGCTCAGCTCACTCTGATAAACTGTGAGTGGTACATTTGGGCCTAGATATGAGGGAATACATCTATGTGGTATATGTGCACCACATAAAACAAATCCTGCAGCACACTGTGTATAATGAGAGGAAAAAACTGAGACCATGATTTTATAGTTGTATTTGCGATTTCTTGGTCTCATTTGATAGAATGGAAGACATATTACAGAAATAGAGATGATTTTGATTGGTTTTAGCACTGGAAATGGCTTGAAACTGAGCTCAAATTAGCAGAAATGTTAAATTTTTGCCGATGTTCAAGAGTAAACAAACGACCTCACACGTTTAATACACGCCAGCTGGTGGGTCTAATATACATTCACAAATGTGGTGATGATATTTATACAATTATTACAATATTGCATAACAGTAAATCTTCTATTTTTTGGTGTGAATAAAAATTCATGTGAATAAAAAATCTGAATGGAATTTATTTGTAAAGCCTCAAAACGTAACTAATGAACAGAGGAAATGTTAGTTTAGTGCCAGGAATACCTACATTGTTTATTCTGGACCCTATTTTGAAATTGGAATATTTTGAACTTTGTGTTAAACTGGCCAAATTACCAATTTCCGATCACTTTATTTTGTAGTTGAAACAGTTGACTTGGCGATTTCTTGTGCTCAATCGATAGAATAGAAGTAATACTAGTGAAATTGCTAAGAATTTGGTCGACTGGAATAATGTAATTGGCCTAAAATGGGAGTCAAAGTCGGCAAAATCGCCGATTCATAAATATCGCTGACACATCAAAATTTGCAAGAGCATAATTTCATCAGTTTTCCATCAAATTTTGTACTTTTTGCTTTATTACCTTCACAAAAAGATTCTCTACCATTTCATAAGAAAAAATATATATTTTTTTTTTAAATTCTTGGACACTGGGGCACCACTTCAGATTTTGGCCTTGGACCCTGAAGGGGTTAATTCAAAAGAAAAAATAATTTTTTTTTTTTTTTTCAAAATTTATTGGACACTGGGGCACCCCTTCCGATTTTGCCTTTGGACCCTGGAAGGGTTCAATTTTGGCTGCCTGAGCCATGCTTTAATGGATTAAAGTTATCACAGAGTTGCTAGAGTGTCTAAGACAGTGAATAGGGTAACTGGGAAGAATTTGTTGAAAGTAGGGCTTCAAAAGGTGTTGGCAATGTGTGTGTGTGTGTATTAGCCCCCATACTGGATTTTACCTGACATGGTCCAATGAATTGTGGGCTTTTTTTTCTAGTTTGTATTGTTTGTGCCATGGAGAATAATGAGGCAAGTTTATTGAAGTTGTGATGTGTTTGCTGTATGGATTTGTATAGAACATAAATTCTGATTTTACCCAATGGGGAACTGAAGAAGAATCCTTTCTCCGTAAGCCTTACATGTCACAAGAGGCTACTGATATGCCAGGAGCAAGGGGCTAGTAGCCCCTTCTGAATAAATTACTAAATGCAAAAAGAAGTAAATCATTTCGTCTTTTTGGGACACCCTACCTCAGTGGAAGATGGCCAGTGTGTTAAAAAAATATATATTTTTGTTCATGAATTTTTGCTTTCAAAGTTTCTAGGGTGATTACATGAAGCTTGATATGGTGTGTTGTAAAATGACCACTAAATCTTTAGTATTGAAAGGTGATCCTGAGGAGTTCAGAAGGGCTGGTTATGCCACTTACATTTTGGCACTGAGTTAACCCTTTGAGGGTTTTCGTCGTACTAGTACGTCTTACGCGTAGGGGTTTTTGACGTACTAGTACTCATAAATTCTAGCGGCCTCAAATCTAGTGGCAGAAAGCTGGTAGGCCTTCATATGAAAGAATGGGTCTATGTGGTCAGTGTGCACAGTCTAAAAAAAATCCTGCAGCAAACAGTGCATAATGAGAAAAAAAAAACTTTGACCATTTTTTTTTAATAAATCAGCGACTTTGCAGTGTATTTTCGTATGGTATTTATTGTTGTATTCTAGTTTTCTTAGTCTCATTTTATAGAATGGAAGAGATATTACAGAAATTGAGATGATTTTGACTGGTTTTACAAAGAAAGGTGCCTTGAAATTGAGCTCAAAGTAGCAGAAATTTCGATTTTTACCAAACTTCAAAAGTAAAACAAATCGTGCCAAGCGTGCAATACACGTCAACTGGTGAGTCTAATATTCTTTCACAAGTGCACCAATAATATTTATACCATTTTTTACACTAATGCAGTAGTCTGCATAACAGTAAATCTTATATTTTTTTGTGAAAATAAAAATTCAAAGTGGAAAGCAAAAGAATATAAGAGGGGCCTTGAGACGTGACTCATGACTAGAGAAGTGTCATTTTAGTGCCAGGAATGTTTTTTCTTGTTTATTCTGGACCCTATTCGGAAATTGGCATCTTTTGAAATTTGTGTGAAATTGGCAAAATTGCTAAATTCTGACCACTGTACTGGATAGTTGAATTTCATAAATGAGTGGTTTCTTGCACCCATTCGATAGAAAAAATGGAGTTCTAGCGAAATATTCATGTTTTTGTCGACTAGTACAGTGAAATTGGCCGAAAATGGGGCTCAAAGTGGGCAAAATCGCCGATGCGTAAACATCGCCGAGACCGCTAACTTTGCGAGAGCATAATTCCGTAAGTTTTCTATCAAATTTCAAACTTTTGGTGTCTTTATGATCGGGAAAAGATTCTCTATCTTTTCATAAGAGAAAATAATTTTTTTTTTTTTTTAAATTTGGCCGACCCTGAGAACGAGTTTCGGAGAGGGCCTGTCGACCCTCAAAGGGTTAAAGGCAGTGACATACATACCTCATATTAATAATAGAGTAAAATGTTGAATATTTGAAATTTACCACTCTTTACCTGTCTAGACTTACGTAGTCTTTATGTATTAAGTCTGACTGAAGGCATGTTAGTGGCTTTCTTTGTACCAATCAAATTATGAAATGTGAACACATTGTAGCCTTTGCAAAGAAATAAACTTACTTTTTTTGTGTGTAACTGTTATGGGGGCCCCTTTGCAACTCCTCATACAGCAGACTCTAATTTTTTTAAGCAATGTGGAATAAAGTTGCTTCTGGGGCCCCTCTGGGATTAGGGGCCCCTGAAGCTTAAGCTTCATTAGTTTCACAGTAGATCCGCCTTGCTTAAGGAGCTTAATATGGAGGCCTGTGAATCTGTGTAAGATAAAATTGTAACACTAGTTCTATATTTTGTTTACTGATGGATTTTTGACCAAACTTGAAACTTTCATTTAGGGACAGCCTGCCTTCGATTTACTCTTATTTTCATTTTTTAAATCTTTCTTAGATTCCTTTTGTTCTATAGGAACTCATTTCATTCAATTTTTGTATTATTTCCAGAGAAAAATAAGAAAAAGATGAAACTTACTCACCAGGCACTTGCTGAAAAACCCATGACATTCATTAAATCATCATCAGCAAGTGAAGAAACTCACTATGAAAAGCTTGATGCTAGACCTTCTAATGTAAGCACAAATAAATCTGCTTCACAGTTTCTGTATGGTGTAAATAAAAGACTGTCACCTGAAAGACAGTCAATTGAAAAACAGTCTTCAGAAAGTCAGTCAACTGTAGATAAATACAAAAATGCTCTTAAGCAAAACAGCAAAAAAGTTGCAAGTGCCTCCATTTCTGATAATAATGTTATTCAGTCTGGTAGAGGCATTGGTGTTATGAATGGTCGAACAGCAAGAGGAAGCATGAACACTCACAACAATTCAACTTCTCACCAGCAAAGGTAAGAGTAATTAATTATATGTAAGTAACAACAGTTCAGTTGTCTTTATGCATTTTTGTCTTTTCATAACCGTGGCTTTGTTATAAGATCCAGGAGACCAACTGCAGTAGATGTTAAACTTTTCATGTATAGTAGTGTGTTGATTAAGATACAGTCTGTTAGTATGTTTTTGCCACAGCTACAAGGCAGTACAGGAAGGGTAGCGTCGAGATTTCACTGTAACTATGTATTGTTGTACCTTTAAGACTAAGAAGTTTATTTTGGCATGATACATGGTTGTACAGAGGAATATAATAGTTGGGTTTACAAACCAAAAGCCCCTTTGTATGCAGAGCATTTTGGGTAAACTTAAAAATTAACTTTAGTGAGGTAATAACAGTTCATATGGTCATTAGATGAGTTACAATGAGTACAATAGAATAGAATATTCTATTAGGTAATGCTATATGGCTTTAATAAGTCTAGTGGAGAATAATTATGTAATGTAAAAGGACACAAGTGCAACTAATGTGACATTTTATTGTGGCAACGTTTCGCTCTCCAGGAGCTTTGTCTAGCCATAAAACAACGGCTTGACAAAGCTCCTGGAGAGCGAAACGTTGCCACAATAAAATGTCACATTAGTTGCACTTGTGTCCATTTACATTACATATTGTCGGTAATTCTACCAACTTTATTACGAGAATAATTACTACACTGTTGAATTAGTTTATAACGATTACAGTACAGTGGACCCCCGGTTCGCGATACTAATCCGTTCCTGAGAGCTCATCGTAAACCAAAAATATTGGAAAGCGAATCAATTTTCCCCATAAGAAATAATGGAAATCAAATTAATCCGTGCAAGACACCCAAAAGTATGAAAAAAAACTTTTACCACATGAAATATTAAGTTTAATGCAATAGAATAGTAATTACAATAACAACAATAACAATAAATAACAATAAATAACGAAAGAATAATTGACACTTACCTTTAATGAAGATCTGGTGATGATTGATGGGATGGGAGGAGGGGAGAGTGTGGATGGTGTTAGCATTTAGAAGGGGAATCCCCCTCCATTAGGACTTGAGGTAGCAAGTCCTTTTCCGGGGTTACTTCCCTTCTTCTTTTAATGCCACTAAGACCAGGTTGAGAGTCACTGGACCTCTGTCGCACAACATATCTGTCCATAGAGGCCTGTACCTCTCGTTCCTTTATGACTTTCCTAAAGTGGTTCACAACATTGTCAGTGTAATAGTCACCAGCACGGCTTGCAATAGCTGTCTTAGGGTGATTTTCATCCATGAAGGTTTGCACTTCAAGCCACTTTGCACAGATTTCCTTAATCTTTGAAGTAGGCAACTTCTTCAATTTCTCTCTCCCCTCCTCCGAAGCAATTTCCTCAGGTGTGGCCTCTTGCTGTTGAAGTTGATCTAGCAGCTCATCAGTGGTTAGTTCTTCATTGTCCTCCTCCACCAACTCTTCCACATCCTCCCCACTAACCTCCAACCCCAAGGACTTCCCCAATGCCACAATGGATTCCTCAACTGGCATAGGCTTCTCAGGGTTAGCCTCAAACCCTTCGAAATCCCTTTTGTCTACACATTCTGGCCACAGTCTTTTCCAGGCAGAGTTCAAGGTCCTCTTAGTCACTCCCAAGCCTTACCTATAAGTTTTACACAATTGAAGATAGTAAAGTGATCCTTCCAAAACTCCTTTAGAGTCAATTGAGTTTCTGTGGTCACTTCAAAGCACCTTTCAAACATAGCTTTTGTGTACAGTTTCTTGAAGTTGGAAATGACCTACTGGTCCATGGGCTGCAGGAGAGGAGTGATATTAGGAGGCAAAACCTTGACCTTAATGAAACTCATGTCCCCACAAAGTCGCTCTGACAAGTCTGTAGGATGACCAGGGGCATTGTTTAATACCAGGAGGCACTTAAGGTCTAATTCCTTTTCAATTAGGTAATTTTTCACACTGGGGCAAATGCATGGTGTACTGTTTGCCCTCGACAGCACACACAAATTAGCCTTGAGGACATTCTTTTGCCTGAACGGTCTGGGAGTTTCTGAGTGATACACCAATAAAGGCTTCACTTTGCAATCACCACTAGCATTGGAACACATCAACAGAGTAAGCCTGTCTTTCATAGGCTTATGTCCTGGGAGTGCCTTTTCCTCCTGAGTAATGTAGGTCCTGCTTCGTAATTTCTTCCAAAACATGCCTGTTTCGTCACAATGAAACACTTGTTCAGGTTTCAATCCTTCAGCCTCTATGTACTCCTTGAATTCATGCACATATTTTTCAGCCGCTTTGTGGTCTGAACTGGCAGCCTCACCATGCCTAATCACACTATGTATACCACTACGATTCTTAAATCTTTCAAACCAACCTTTGCTAGCCTTAAATTCACTCACATCACCACTAGTTGCAGGCAATTTTTTTACCAAATCGTCATGCAACTGCCTAGCCTTTTCACAAATGATTGCTTGAGAGATGCTATCTCCTGCTATCTGTTTTTCATTTATCCACACCAATAACAGTCTCTCAACATTTTCTAACACTTGCGGTTGCTGTTTTGTAATCACAGTTGCACCTTTTGCCAAAACAGCTTCCTTGATTGCCGTTTTCTTGCTCACTATAGTAGAGATGGTTGATTGGGATTTACTATACAACCTGACCAGCTCCGACACACGCAGTCCACTTTTGTACTTTGCAATTATCTCTTTCTTCATTTCAACAATCATTAGCACCCTTGGTCTCGAAGGGTTGGCACTGGGAGCTTTCTTGGGGCCCATGGTGACTTATTTTGCAAAAACAGGCACCAAAAACAGTGATAATATGGATAATATGGAATGTACTGAATGTATCCTTAGATGCGCGCACACTGGCTGGCTTGTAAACACCGGCACACACGGGGCAGTTCAGGCCACACATGGACACATCTCGTACGAACCACATCACATACCGGTTTTGTATCGGGAAGTGAGGCAAATTTTCTGCCATATAATGCATCGGTTACCGGATTTATCGGATACCGATAGCATCGCGAACCGGGGGTCCACTGTATTACAATAGAACAGTTTAAAACAATTTACAAATATTGAATAAGTTGGTTATTGATAATAATGTGAAAAGCAATTAAATGAGAACGTGAAGATATGATCTTGCGGCACCACCATGATTAATGTTTGTGTTTGCTCTTCATAGTGCCCTCGCAGTATATGCCATTTATGTGAAATTGCTTATCATCATGGGAGCCAAAGGCCTTATTAACAGATGTGACTGAAATAGTTGTTTCTTGCATACCAGCTAGTACTGTTCAGAACATTTATAAAACAAAATGTTTCACCATGTGTGGCTTCCCGTAGCTGGGTTAGTAGTGCACTCAGCTCACACATTTAGGTCTGTGGTTTGATCCACAGTACGGGTGGAGACATTGGGCGTGTTTCCTTCTGACAAGTGCTGTCCCTGTTCACCTAGCAGTAAGTAGGTACCTGGGTGTTAGCCTACTGGTGTGGGTTGCATCCTAGGGACAAAATTAACCTAAAGTTGCCCTAAATGCTCTTCATAACCAGGGGCTTTCTATATAGTATGTCATTGATGTTACCTGCAGACAGTGCAAGTGACCTGAAGCAAAAGTGAGGTGAGGTGGGATGTTTGTCAATTGCAGAAAACATGAAAAGAAGCTGCATGTCCTAGCTCTAAGCAAAACAGAGCTGAAGTGGATAGGTGAGTCTCAGTGGAGAGGAATAAATGGGATTAAGTCAGGAGTATCTGAGAGAGAGCTAAGGAAGGGGTAGCAATAATGCTGAGGGATCAGTTATGGGAACATGGGCATGTGCGGACACGTTTGGTGCTGCGGATCACTGTCATCTCGATGAAAATTGAGAAGATGAATGAAAACTGGGACAAAATTTTGACGAAGAAAGTCGTCGAAAACCGAATTCAATGAAAACCAGGACAAACGAAAACTGAGGTTCCACTGTATACAGTAATTTACACATATTACTATGTGTGATAATCTGTGTAGCTGTATTTGTGTGTACCCGTACCTAAATAAACTTACATATACAACATGCATCAGTTTAATTGATAAGTCATATTAATAATAAAGAAGGATATTTGAGTGTGTTGGCAATGTTTACAGCTGCTCATCTCTCCCTTCCCACCACTCTCTGCTCTTTGCTTTTATTTCTGTCATTGAAAATATGAGGGAATTTTTTTTTTTCATCAATCCATCCATATCCTACTGAGACAAGGTTTACCTGGACCTGGAGTTTACCTGGAGAGGGTTTCGGGGATCAATGCTCCCGTGGCCCAGTCTGAGACCAGGCCTCATGGTGGATCAGGGTCTGATCAACCAGGCTGTTACTGCTGGCTGCACGCAAGCTGACGTACGAACCACAGCCTCGTTGGTTAGGTACTGACTTTAGGTGCCTGTTCAGTGCCTTCTTGAAGACAGCCAGGGGTCTATTGATAATCCCCCTTATGTATGCTGGGAGGCAATTGAGCAGTCTTGGGCCCCGGACACTTATTGTGTTGTCTCTCGGTGTACTCGTGGCTCCCTTGCTTTTCATCGGGGGAATGTTGCATCTCCTGCCGAGTCTTTTGCTTTCATATGGAGTGATTTTCATGTGCAGGTTTGGTACCAATACGTATATGCTTCTAAACTGTTGTATTCTGAGCACCTCTGCAAAAGCAGTGATAATGTGTGAGTGTGGTGAAAGTGTTGAATGATGATGAAAGTATTTTCTTTTTGGGGATTTTTTCTTTTTTGGGTCACCCTGCCTCGGTGGGAGACGACCAACTTGTTGAAAAAAAAAAAAAAACATGTATGTGTAGTGTGACCTAAGTGTAAGTAGAAGTAGCAAGACGTACCTGAAATCTTGCACGTTTATGAGACAGAAAAAAGGACACCAGCAATCCTACCATCATGTAAAACAATTATAGGCTTTCGTTTTACACTCACTTGGCAGGAAGAGATACTGTAATTTATTTTTTATTTAACCACTTCACTGTCTCTTACGTAGATCTACATTATTGATGCCATGGTTGCTTACATAGATCTATACATGAATTCTAGTGGTCTCAGATTTGGCTCAAGATGCCTGGTAGGCTTACATGTGAGAGAATGGGTTTGTGCAGTCAGTGTGCACAGTACACAAGAAAAATGTCGAGGCCACCACACTGCATCGTGGGAATGCTGTCTTTAGTACATCTTGTTCACCATGCTGTGTGGATGTAAAGGCCTCACTACCAGGCAAATTCAAAGACCTTTATTTCCCAGTAACAGTTTCAACAGAGAGGACTATGGAACTGAGGATGAGTTCTCGGGTTTTGAATGTTTAGCTACCAACCATAGGTAACTTGATGCTGGAAATATTGTTGAAAACTCCAATGACCCACAATTATCCATGTCTGGAGTTGGTTCATCTGGAGCACATTTACCACACTTTAAGAGAAAAACTCGTATTTATCCGTGCACACATGTAAGTATTAGTGATGATAGTGATGTGAACTTTGATTTCCTATCAGTTGATGACCAGGCCAGTGATAGTGAAGATGAATATTTGCCTTTGAAGTGTCAATATATACGGCACCTTATGCATTATCATCCCTGTGATGTTGTACATCCCATCCCAACCCAACACCAGCAACAGATAGTGATAGGATGAGTGCATTGATTGGCATGTGTATTAGGCAGTGGGCAGTAGATGGTGGGACAGAGGTGGGCAGCATGAGCAATAGCCCTGACTGGGAGTCATGCCCCAGACCCCAATGACCTTTGGATGCATCCACCACTCACACCCCCCACCCCCACACCACCACCCCAAAACTACCACCACCACCAACATAACCACTGCAACCAGCTGTAAATATCAAGAAACCACTGTCAAACTGCATCTGGGATTAGCAGGAGGATGCATAATTTGTGCCTAGTTCCAATCAGTTTGATGACACAGTGGAATTCAGCTGACATTGTCAGCACTATTAATTTTGGGATTCCTGACAGTGCAAGGGTTAAATTAATTTTTTAATAAGAATCAAGGTTTATATTTACATAAGCATTCTGGTTGTCAATTTCACAGCAGTGGAATGGATACACAAACTGTTGGCTCATCACAACCATTATATCCAACAGTAGCAAGCATTGAGGTTATGAATGATCAAGCAGCAAGTGGAAGTATGAACACTGACAACAATTCAGCTCCCCATCAGCAGAGGTAAGAGTAATTTATAATATGTAAGCTAGAACAGTTTAGCATTTATGTCTCCTCAAACCTACTACAGGTTGGCCATCACTAGTCCGGCACTCAGTAATCTGGCTCCATCAGTAATCTGGCACTAATTTCAGCTAGCATAATTTCAAATTTCCAGGGTTGCCACACCAACCTGCCACTTCTGTTTGGTGGTGCTACTTGTTGCTTAAGTCATTCAAATTTCTTTTTCTCCATATACAGTAGGGCCCCACTTATACGGCAGGTTAGGTTCCAGGCTACCTCCATAAAGTGGAAATCGCCCAAAGGGCAACACCCTTTTTATCACTTATAAATGCATATAAATGCTTGATAACAAGTTTACACTTAAAAGGAGGGGTTTGGGATATTGGCAGTTTGAAGGGAAATGTTGTGTATCTCTATACGTATATGCTTCTAAACTGTTATATTCTGAGCACCTCTGCAAAAGCAGTGATAATGTGTGAGTGTGGTGAAAGTGTTGAATGATGATGAAAGTATTTTCTTTTTGGGGCCACCCCACCCATATGTAATATACTACAACATTTAAAGTGCCCTAGAGCAATAAAATACATATACTGTACACTCATTACTTACCTTAAAATATTTGTAGTTGTAATGGTCTTAATGTAGGGTGAGGTGAGTAGTACAGTGGTACCTCGAGTTACCTTGAGTTGCACTCACTCAACATCTCCCAAAATCTCTCTCTCTCTCTCTCCTCTACACTTGTCTCTTCTCCAGGTGCATTAACACTTACTATAACCCACTTTTCACATCCAACCCTTATTTTACTCCACTTAATCCTTGAATTTGTACATATAATACTTTTTTGTTTTTTTTTAAGATGTGTAGAATCTATTTCTGAAGTTATTTTTTAATTGAAACTGAAAATCAGGTGGTATAGGTCAGGTCAGGGTTAAATTTTCCATTTGTTTTCTCTCGGTGGAAAATGAATGGGTAATTGTACTACAGTAGACCGTTATTTAACACGGGTTTATTTGGCATGATTTGGGTATTGCACAATTGAAGAATTGTGGCACAATTTTATGTAAGATGTCATATAATTAATTTAACACGGTTCAGTTTGTGGGAAGGAAAAAAAAATTCTCTCTTGCTCAAGCAGCCGCCTTGTTGTGGAGCAGCCAGGGAGCCCTCCTGCCATCCCCTGCCACTCCCCAACCCCACCCCACCATCCCAACGTTCGTAATTCATGTGTGTCCAGTCTTTCTCTGCTACAAGGCAGCTGTGATTGTGAATTGTGTTATGATATTTTAATTACTATATCTTGTATCTGCCAAGCAATCATGACACCCAGTACCCATACCAGTGTTGCTGAAAGTGGCACGAAGAGGTATAAGCACTTAAGTCTTAGAATTAACAAAGTAACAAAGATATTAGACAAGAGATAACCTGTAACCGTAATGAAATGTTACTTTGTACACAGAAAAAGAGGTAAACATGAGTTTGTGTGATTGACTGACTGAATGACTGACTTACTGAATGACTGACTGACTGAAATGACTGACTTATTGAGTTACTTGACTGACTTACTGAATGACTTGACAGACTTACTGAGTGACTTGACCAACTTACTGAGTTACTTGACAAACTTACTGAATGACTTGACTTACCGACAGAATGACTTAAAGTTAGACACTCCATGTACAACCATTGACTTCAGTACCAGAACCTCTGCCATCCACCTCAGCCCAGTAATGTCACAGCATAACTCTCCACTCTCTTCACAATCATCCACAAACACCAGCACCTACAATTTAAGGTAAGAAATATTATTATTTCTGTTACATTTGTAGTCTTTTATTTTTGTAAGATGTGGAGGCCTAAAAAAAGTTGTTTGGCTTTTTGGTGGTTCACAGGAACGTAACCCTATTTTTCCTGTAAGTTCTTCAGTTTATCTAACATGATTTTTACCTAACATGGCATTTTCAGGAATGTAACTACTGTGCTAAATGACTGTGTACTGTAAATATTAATTTATTTTTTCGTATAAAGACAGGGATACGTATACACATTTACACATTTGTTTGTGAAAAAAATAGTGAGTGATGTCTGAAACACACTTTACACAATGGATATTCTGGATCCTCCTTTGAAATTGGAATATTTTAAACTTTGTGTGAAATTGGCCAAATCACCAATTTCTGATCACTTTATTGGGTAGTTGAAATAGTTGATTGGGCATTTTCTTGTACTCACTTGATAAAATAGAAGTAATACTAGCAAAATAGCTAAGAATATGGTCAACTGAAATAATGTACTTGGCTTAAAATAGGAGTCAAAGTGGGCAAAATCACCACTGCGTAAATATCACTGATACAGTAAAATTCGCGATAGTATAATTTTGTCAGTTTTCCATCAAACTTCATCCATTTTGTTTTATTACCTTCAGAAAAAAATTCTTTGTCATTTCATAAGAAAAAATAAACTTTTTTTTTAATTCTTGGACCCTGTGGTTAAGGCATAGAACTACGGCTTGGGCCCTCAAAGGGTTAAATATTTTCATTGAAAATAAGTAATCATGGCCCTCCCAAAAAAGTAATGATCTAAACAAGCTTAAAAGGAAAGGGGTGAGAACAACAATTAAAGTGAAAAAAGAACTCATTGCAAAGTGGCAAAGTGGAACACGTGCATTGGACCTTGCTACTCAATATGGTTATGGTATGACGAAATCCACCATATCCTTCATATTGAAAAATAAAGAGGCTAAAAAAGGGGCTGATGTGGTGAAAAAGAGTGAAAATTCTTGCTGTGCAAAGGTCACAGATAATTGAAGAAATGGAAAAAGTTTTGTCAGTGTGGATTAATGAAAAACAACTGTCTGGTGATAGTGTTTCTGAAACAATAATTTGTGAACAAACAAAGCAGTTATTTAGTGATCTTAGGCAAGACATTCTGGGAAACAGTGATGAATTTAAGGCAAGTAGGGGTTAGTTTGATAGATTTAAAAAGAGGAGTGGGATTCATAGTGTAGTAAGGCATGGGGAAGCTGGCAGTGCTAACAGAGATGAGGCTGAAATATTTGTTAAGGAATTTAAAACCTATGTAAACATTGAGGAATTTATTCCTCAGCAAGTTTTTAATTGTGATGAAACCAGCCTCCTTTGGAAAAGAATGCCTAAGAGAACCTACATCACACAAGAAGAAAAATCATTACCAGGACACAATCCCATGAAAGACAAGCTAACAATCTTGTTGTGTGGTAATGCTAGTGGGGACTGCAAAATTAAACCATTGCTAGTCTACCACTCTACAAGTCCAAGGGTGTTTAAGAAAAACAATGTGATAAAAAGTAAACTCAGTGTAATGTGGAGGGCTAATAGTAAAGCTTGGGTAACAAGTCAGTTCTTCACTGAGTGGATACATGAAGTGTTTGCCCCAAGTGTGAATCAGTACCTTGCGGGGAAAACTTACCGTTAAGGACACTTGTGGTAATGGACAATGCTCACCCTCCAGGCTTGGAGGAAAATTTGGTGGATGAATACAGCTTCATTAAAGTGAAGTTCTTCCTTCCTAACACCATTCCTTTTATCCGACCCATGGACTAACAGGTAATTTCCAATTTTAAAACACTTTACACAAAAGCACTGTTTAAAGGTGCTTTGAAGTAACCTCTAAATTCTAGGGAATTTTGGAAAAACCATTTTAATATCCTCCAGTATTTAAGGCTAAAAGACAAAGCCTGGTATAGGTAGTAGGTTGGAAGACAGCAACCGCCCAGGGAGGTACTACCGTCCTGCCAAGTGAGTGTAAAACGGAAGCCTGTAATTGTTTTACATGATGGTAGCATTGCTGGTGTCCATTTTTCTGTCTCATAAACATGCAAGATTTCAGGTATGTCTTGCTACTTCTACTTACACTTAGGTCACACTACACATACATGTACAAGCATATATATATACACACCCCTCTGGGTTTTCTAATATTTTCTTACTAGTTCTTGTTGTTTATTTTCTCTTACCTCCATGGGGAAGTGGAACAGAATTCTTCCTCCGTAAGCCATGCGTGTTGTAGGAGGCAACTAAAATGCCAGGAGCAAGGGGCTAGTAACCTCTTCTCCTGTATATATTACTAAATGTAAAAGGAGAAACTTTCGTTTTTCCTTTTGGGCCACCCTGCCTCGGTGGGATACGGCCGGTGTGTTGAAAGAAAGAAAGACAAAGCCTGGGGGGAAGTTTCTTTCAGGACAATGAACTCTGCCTGGAAGAAATTGTGGCCAGACTGTGCATCAGTCAGAGATTTTGAAGACTTTGAGGCAGAGCCTGTAGTGAAGGATATTGTTTCTCTGGGCCAGTCCATGGGTTTGGATATGGACAATGAGGATGTAGAGGAGTTGGTGGAGGATCACAAGAATGAGCTCACCGCAGAACTTTAAGACCTGTACAAGGAGCAGCAAGAAGTGGTTGAGGAAATTTCTTCTTCAAAGGAGGGGAGCAGTAAGGGCAACATTTTCACTGCAGAAATTAAGGAACTGTTACCATTGGGCTCAAACATGGAGCCTGGTGGAAAAATGGCATCCTAACATTACTGTTGTGAATAGAAGCATCAGCCTGTTCACTGACAATGTTGTTGACCACTTGAGAAAAATTTTGAAAAGTTGTCAAGAGCAGACAGCATTGGACATTGGAGTGCAGTTAAATTTTCATTTATTTCATGTATTTATTGTTTTTATAGCTTTCATGTATGATTTTATACATGCAAATATTATACAGGTTTAAATAATAAATTTTTCACTTAAAATGTTTTATAATTGCTAATTTTTTGGGGGTCTGGAATGGATTAATCCAATTTACATTATTTTGTATGGGAAAAATTGATTCACTATTCATACAACTCACTATTCGAACAGCCTCCTGGAAATGATTGAGTTCGAATATCAAAGTACAACTGTACAATGTACACTAGTTTAGTCGATAAACTTGTATTTCATGATAAAGAAGGATGTGTGAGGGTGTTGACAATGCGTTTATATCTGCTCATTCCTCTCCACCACCTCTGTCCCTTACTGCTGTTTCTTTCACTGAAAATGTGAGGGGAAATGATACTGTACTGAATTTTATTTTTTATTAAAATGAAATTATTAATATAGTTTATATTTACAAAAGCATTCTTGTCAATTTCACAGCAGTGAGACTGACACACAGACCCTTGGCCCATCACAACAATTAAACCCAATGGTAACAAACATTGAAGTTATTATAAATGGTCAAACAGCAAGTGGAAGTATGAACACTGATAACAATTCAGCTCTCAATCAACAAAGGTAAGAGTAATTAATAATATGCAAGTAAATGCAGATTAAATTTCAGCATTTATGTCTCTTCATAAACATGTCTTCCTCATAAGATCCAGATAAAAGGCAGTAATAGATATTAATATTTTCATGTATAATACTAGCTATATTGTCAAGTTATATGGTTTAAACAGTGGTCCCTCGATAATCGTCGGGCTCGATAGTCGTCCTTTTCGGAAATCGTCACGTTATTTTTCGTCCAAACATTGGCTCGCAAATGGTCGGTTGACTCGCTAATTGTTGTTTGTCCTGGACGCGTACTCACGGCTCTGAGCCGCCTCGGCCTCCCTTCCCAGCCAGTGTGCCATTGTTTACCAGGGAGCAACAGTCCCTTCACTTGTTCATATGAAATATTTCATATTCCATTCATTTTAGTGCTTGCAAGTGCTAAATAAGCTACCATGGCTCCAAAGAAAGCTCCTAGTGCCAAGCCTTTGGTAAAGAAGGTGAGAAATGCAATTGAATTTAAGAAAAACATCATTGAACAATATGAAAGTAGCATACGTGTGGCCGAACTGGCCAGGATGTATAACAAACCCCATGCAACCATATCTTCCATCGTGGCAAAGAAAAAGGAAATCAAGGAAGCAGTTGTTGCTTGGAGAAAATTGTGGCCAGATTGTGTCCACAAGAGGCATTTTGAAGGGTTTGTGGCTGACCCTGATGAGCCTATGTCAGGTGTGAAATCTAGTGTGGCATTGGGGAGTTCCATGGGATTGGATGTGAGTTTGGAGGATGTGGAAGAGTTGGTGGAGGACCACAACGAAGAGCTGCAAGAGCTTCGGGAGGAACAGCAACAGATCACAGCTCAGAATCTTGCTGCAGAGGAGGAGGAAGAGAAATGGAAGAAGGTGCCTTCTTCAGAAATTAAGGAGATTTTTGAAATGTGGGGTAGGATGGAAAGATTTTTGGAGAAGCATCACCCTGAGAAGGATGTTGCAAGCCATATTGGCAACTTGTACAGTGACAGTCTTTTGGCCCATTTTAGGGAAGTTTTAAAGAGACACCAGAAACAGAGCTCTCTGGACACTTTTTTTGCGAGACAGGACTCCAGTGACTCTCAAGCTGGTCCTAGTGACATTAAGAAACAGAGAAGAGAAGTATGTAACCCCAGAAAAGGACTTGATACCTGAGGTGTTGATGGAAGGGGATTCCCCTTCCAAACAGTAACCAATCCAATCTCTCTCCTCCTCCAGTCTTCCATACACTAAGAGGAATCACCAATAAAGGTAAGTGTTATGCTGTTAATGTTTCATTCATCATGTCCCATTGTATTGTTTATGTACTACATCTATATCTCATGTAAAATTTTTTTTTGTTTTAATACTTCTGGGTGTCAGGAACGGATTAATTGTATTTACATTATTTCTTATGGGGAAAATTGATTCGAAAATCGTCTATTTCGATATTCATCGCACTTCCAGGAACGGATTAACGATGATGAACGAGGGACGACTGTAAGTATATTTGATCACACTGCAACAGTTTTATTATTGTTCACATTACATACTGGCACATCCCCATCTTAAATGATTAATTTATCTGCAATAATTCTCCCAGCAATATCTGCAGCACCATACATTTTTCAAACCAGGTCTTTCACCCCATCAGTCCATATTTTACCCATCCCTTCTCATTATCATGTGTATTAACCTGTTAATTGTCCAAATGTAGATCTACGTTGTTACTGCTAGCGCTCTGAATATTTTTATTTTTTTTAATTTTAAATAAAGAGGGCAATTTTCTGTTTACCTGGAGTTTACCTGGAGAGAGTTCCGGGGGTCAACGCCCCCGTGGCCCAGTCTGTGACCAGGCCAAAAAAATGTTTTAGGGGTCAGTACTTACCAAGATATAAGGCTGCGAAGTTGGTGCTGGATTCTCACCTGACGGCAATAGGGATTCCTGCCGCTTGCAGAAGTGATGCCGATGTACCTTTTTTTCTGTTTTTTTTTTTTTTTTTTTTTTTATTATTAACACACTGGCCGATTCCCACCAAGGCAGGGTGGCCCGAAAAAGAAAAACTTTCACCATCATTCACTCCATCACTGTCTTGCCAGAAGGGTGCTTTACACTACAGTTTTTAAACTGCAACATTAACACCCCCTCCTTCAGAGTGCAGGCACTGTACTTCCCATCTCCAGGACTCAAGTCCGGCCTGCCGGTTTTCCTGAATCCCTTCATAAATGTTACTTTGCTCACACTCCAACAACACGTCAAGTATTAAAAACCATTTGTCTCCATTCACTCCTATCAAACACGCTCACTCATGCCTGCTGGAAGTCCAAGCCCCTCGCACACAAAACCTCCTTTACGCCCTCCCTCCAGCCTTTCCTAGGCCGACCCCTACCCCGCCTTCCTTCCACTACAGACTGTAGTTTTTTTTTTTTATATAATTTTTATGTTCTGATAATTACAATTTATAGTAGTTCTTGCGATTTTATAGCCAATTTTTGTTCTGATACTAAAATTATGTACTGAAATAGTACTCAAATAGTCACAAACACACTGACAGGTGAACATTTTCACCTGCCTTGGTCACATACTGTTGTTTAGAAATATATACAAAATATTATGGGCCCCAGAAATTTTTTAGAATGCGGGAATTAAAAACCTCCTTGAAGCATGTTTTTAAGATGAGTGTCATCCATGTACAGTGCAGCAGTGGGTAACATTTTGGCACTGCTCCAGTGAACCTTGGCTTTTTTGGGCTCACTGTTACATAAAGTTCTCACACTTACCATTTACTTATAATCCATACCCCACCTAGCATCTGTGCTTGGGGGTTTAACTGCACAACACACCTAAAAACCAAAAATAACCCCAAAAAAAAGCCCCAGTAAGAAAATCCTAAATCCCATCCCTGGCAACACACCCCCCCACCTTCATGACTAAACTTTTTCCTTTTGTACTCCACCTTTCTACTGTCAATCTACACTACAGGACCTTAAATTCCAAATATTAACCTTGACCTAAAATGCTTTCTTGATAGTTGTGACAGAACCCACAGGCACAACACCAGACACAAACATCTCTAAGACATTCCCCCGTGTCTGACTAAACCTTTTACAAAAATTCAATGTATGTAAAAGGGCCCAAAAAATCGGGAACACCCTACCTGAAATTCCAAAACTGCAGACACATTCATCACCTTCAAAACTACCATCAGAAAACATCTTATCCCCTGATACACCCTGTCAACTAATAATACAAATACCCCGGGTGGTTCACACTTAAAACTCACTCACCCATTTGACCATAAACAGAAATATCAATCTCAATCTCAAAATAATGAATCTTAACTAGTCAAAAGTTGGCCTGTGATACTCCAATACTGAAACTATGTTATTTTTTTTTTTTTTTTTTATTACCCCCGGCCGATTCCCACCAAGGCGGGGTGGCCCGAAAAAGAAAAACTTTCACCATCATTCCACTCCATCACTGTCTTGCCAGAAGGGTGCTTTACACTACATTTTTTTAAACTGCAACATTAAACACCCCTCCTTCAGAGTGCAGGCACTGTATTTTCCCATCTCCAGGACTCAAGTCCGGCCTGCCGGGTTTTCCCCTGAATCCCTTCATAAATGTTACTTTGCTCACACTCCAACAGCACTCAAGTATTAAAAACCATTTGTCTCCATTCACTCCTATCAAACACGCTCACGCATGCCTGCTGAAGCCCAAGCCCCCCCCGCACACAAAACCTCCTTTACCCCCTCCCTCCAACCCTTCCCAGGCCGACCCCTACCCCGCCTTCCTTTCCACTACAGACTGATACACTCTTGAAGTCATTCTGTTTCGCTCCATTCTCTCTACATGTCCGAACCACCTCAACACCCTTCCTCAGCCCTCTGGACAACAGTTTTGGTAATCCCGCACCTCCTCCTAACTTTCCAAACTACGAATTCTCTGCATTATATCACACCACACATTGCCCTCAGACATGACATCTCCACTGCCTCCGCCTTCCCCCTCGCTGCAACATTCATCACCCACGCTTCACACCCATATAAGAGCGTTGGGAAAAACTATACTCTCATACATTCCCCTCTTTGCCTCCAAGGACCCAAAATTCTTTGTCTCCCACAGACTCCTAAGTGCACCACTCACTCTTTTTCCCTCATCAATTCTATGATTCACCTCATCTTTCATAGACCCATCCGCTGACACAGTCCACTCCCAAATATCTGAATACGTTCACCTCCTCCTATAACTCTCTCCCTCCAATCTGATATTCAATCTTTCATCACCTAATCCCTTTTTTTTATCCTCATAACCTTACTTTTTTCCCGTATTCACCTTTAATTTTCTTCTTTTGCACACCCTACCAAATTCATCCACCAATCTCTGCAACTTCTCTTCAGAATCTTTCCCCAAAAGCACAGTGTCATCAGCAAAGAGCAGCTGTGACAACTCCCACTTTGTGTGTGATTCTTTATCTTTTAACTCCACGCCTCTTGCCAAGACCCTCGCATTTACTTCTCTTACAACCCCATCTATAAAAAATATTAAACAACCACGGTGACATCACACATCCTTGTCTAAGGCCTACTTTTACTGGGAAAAATTTCCCTCTTTCCTACAACTCTAACTTGAGCCTCACTATCCTCGTAAAAACTCTTCACTGCTTTCAGTAACCTACCTCCTACACCATACACTTGCAACATCTGCCACATTGCCCCCTATCCACCCTGTCATACCCTTTTCCAAATCCATAAATGCCACAAAGACCTCTTTAGCCTTATCTAAATACTTTTCACTTATATTTTCACTGAAAACCCCTGGTCCACACACCCCCTACCTTTCCTAAAGCCTCCTTGTTCATTTTGCTATCCTATTCTCCATCTTACTCTTAATTCTTTCAATTATAACTCTACCATACACTTTACCAGGTACACTCAAAGACTATCCCCCTATAATTTTGCACTCTCTTTTATCCCCTTTGCCTTTATACAAAGGAACTATGCATGCTC